GCATCCATGCCTTCTTTCTTTGCGTGCACATTTGGGCGCATTATGCTAATACCATATAGTGAGGTAGATATGTGGGGGCGTGTTAGAACGAGCCATTTTAGGAGGGCGTGGCTGACTTAACTTTTATAAAGAATATCTCTTTGGATTTGAGACTTTAGTCTTTGCAACTTTACAGATCTTCTTTATGCACCAAGAGCTTGTAACACTCCAAAGAGACAGGAAAAATAGAAATCGCATCATATGACCCCTTTAACATGTAAAAGTTTAACATTTTAAAATAAGATTATTATAATTAATATATAATTATATAATAATTATAATATTAATTATATAATATAATAATAATAATACTGTAACAGAGGTTTACATATTAAAGTTATGTTATTACTTATGTTATAATTATTATTATTGTAAATAATAATGAAAAAATGTAACGTGTAAAGGTTCACATTGTAAAGTATTATTATAATTCATAATTCTTATTATTATAACATTTTTATTATTATTATTATTACATGTAAAGGTTCACATTGTAAAGTATTAATAATTATTTTATTTATTATAACGTAAAATGTTTAATAAAATTATTATTATTATTATTAATAATAAATATTATGATAATAACATGTAAAATGTTTTCATTATTATTTTTACTACTATTAAATGTTAAAAATACAGACAAATAAAGGTTAAACATATTAAACTTAAAGCTTAAATTAAACTTGATATGATATAATCATAGGTAATCATATAATCAGGATCATTATGGGATTGTATTTTATAAATATTTATTCTATTCTTTATCCTTTTTTTTTAGATAAGATACAAAAAGAGTGATAGTCATCTTAAGAAAAAAATATTTTCCAAATAATATTTTCACATACTTATAATGTGTAAACCAGGGGTGCCAATCCTGCTCCTGGCGATCGACTGTCCTGCAAAGTTTAGCTCCAACTCTAATCAAAGACACCTGCCTTTAATTTTTAAGTGATCCTGAAGACCCTAATTAGTTGCTTCAGGTGTGTCTGATGAGGGTTGGAGCTGAACTTTGCAGGACAGTCGATTGCCAGGAGCAGGGTTGGGCACCCCTGGTGTAAACCATATAAATCATAATTGGGGGTTTAAGCATTAAAAAGTTTGAAAACCCCTGACCTACAGGACACTTGTAAATTCTCTCACTTACTCATCTTTATGCATTCCTTCCACATTCATTTACAGACCTGCATCTTTATATCTTGTTTTATTTTTCCCTAAACAGCCCCATCCCTTTCTCTCAATCACTCTCTCCCTCTCCCTTGTCATTATTATCGACCGTGCCCATCTTACCCCGTTAATTAAAAGCCATTGATCGTCAGCTGCACGCCAGCAATATTGTGGACGGCGTCACAGGAGGAGCCATTCAGAGATCAACCGATATGTGTTTGTGTGTCAGTGTCTTTAAGAGGGACAATGAATGACACTGAAAAAAAGAACAGACAATTAACAAATTTAGAGAGTAAATATTCATGCATCTTCAAATATTGCTGCCTTTCTTGAGAGCAGATTGCTTATCAACATGCTTCCACCCTGTTACCCTCTTACCTGATAAAGACAAATTCATCTGATTTTAAACTGACTTTAAGGCTCATTAAGGATTTAATTTCACACTTTGTCGCATCGTTTTGAGCCCTCATTCCCACTTGCAGTACACATAGTTATATAGTTATAAATCATATAAATCTTTACAGTTATATTCAACTCTTTATTTCTTACACACTGAGAAGCCAATCTATCAATCTAATAACCACAATGTCGTCATTCATGCTCAAATCCACAGTAGTTTTACCTTCACACAAGACTAGCTCTGTCTTTCTCCGGCTCATACACACAATCATCATCTCTAGCATATCTCTGCAAAAACGTGTGCCATCACCTTTATTTGCCACACACACCCACTCTTATTCCCCTATATCCTCTTTTTCTCCATCTGAGTGAGCACGGTAAATCTGGACAAGTCAATGTGCCAGCGCAGCACATTCACGGAGAGAGGCGAGTGAATTACTCTGGCAGACGAGCCATGGCTGCCGCAGTAATGGCAGACACACGCAATCTTTATTCATTGATGCACTGACTGAGAGCCTTAGTGCATGTTGGGATAGGAAATTGAGCTATATAGAATTTCTTAAACGCTCAACTCTGTGGGGATGTATCGTCATAATGTCAAAATTGCAATTGACATTTACTTTTCTAAAATGGCATTTTTAGCCCAGCACTCTGAAAATGGTGTCAAATCATCAGCATTTTGGTTAGAAACTGTATTATAACAAAACGGAAATTTGTGAATGAAAGTTTAACAGCTCAAATCATAATCGTAGAAACTTAATTTACTCCCGTCGATCGCGAAATTTACTGTCACATAAGTTTTAGTGAAATTACTATTTTGACAACAACCTTAACGTTTACGTTTAAATTTACAGATTCATCCACACTTTGATATTAATTCATAATGTTTATTTAATTTATAAATACATTTTATTAAAGAAATATGAAATCAAATTCGAGCCCGTTTACTTCCTAATACATCCTTCCATATAACATCTAGCCATTTTTCTCTTTAAAATATCCTGTTTTAGCCTGAAATTCATCACAATATAGAAGTAAAAAGCATTGTTAATGTATTTGTGATCTTAATTGGCCTTGATTTGAATATAATTGCATCAGAATCTAATAATCTCTTATTGAATTACAGGTCATTGTAGTTTATAACATTTTGTTTGTAGTGTTTTGGCAGTTCAGACAGTTTTGGGGGCGGTGTATGCGATGCGCGAGTGCTTTCCCTCGTAAATCCACCCAGGGGCTGAGACGCTGCCCTCTCTCCCCACCATTAACTTTCACCCCTCCCTCGCTCCATCCCTCCTTCATGAACGAGTGATCAATTAAAACCCTGTGCAGCCGGGACCACACGTCAGCATTTCCCCATCTCTGTCTGTTTAGAGATCTAGATTTCTTATTTGTCTGCTCCAGTGCACACTGCGATGCATCATGTTGCGTAAGAAACAAACTCAGAATTGCATATTACATCATTACTGAAAGACAAAGTATGTATTTTCAAACTCTGACATGAGCTTTGCAATTTATCGCTTGTTTAGACAACCTGCTTCTATATTCATTTAAATGTAGGAAATAATATGAAATTAAAAATTACATTTATTTAAAAATAACAAGCACAGCCCTCGTCTCTCATTCTGCATCAGCAATGTCACACATTTCCCGTCTTATTTTCAGCTCTTATCATTTTCTTTTATTTAAGCTTCAGCTAGCCATGAAATGACGAAGCACAGACTGCATATTAGAAAAGAATACTTTATTCAAAGATGGGAAATGGTTTGTGTCTGCATCTGAGAGAGAGAAAGAGAGAGAGAGAAATTTGAAAGTAATTTGCTTGGTCCCCCATTAAGACGAGATGGCTGGCATTTCATAAGAGCACAGCGAGCAGCAGCAATCTTTTGGCAGCGTGTACCTTTTTGGATGAACTTTAATTAATACCGTAACAACCACTAATTGCTATAATGACAGTAGCAATAAAGTAGTACTTGCAATATGTGCTGTCACACAGAAAAAAAATTTTCCATCTGGTTTATCATAATAATTCACCTGAAAGATGTACTGGCCTAAAGGCAGATTTGAAATGGTATACAGTCTATTTAGTGCGAAACCACAATATGCTTCAGTCATTCCTCTGAAGACCTTCACTGTGAATTGTTCATCTGCAACTCTATTTCGGTTTTTCTGTGAATTTCCAGGCCCAGTAAGTCACATAGCAAGAATTAATTCAACAACACAATAGCCTTGTTTTCTATCAAACTCAACTATAGCCACTCAACCTTCAAAGAAACAGCCAAGGTTATTTACAACTTGTTCAGTGGAGTAATTTCTACACCACTAGCATCAACAATCCCAACTGCAAAAACTGGTTTCCCTGAAGACGTACCTCAGCTTACATTGCTTTCCAATGATCAGGAGTGATCGTAATGATCAATATGGTGGATAGACTCCTGCCTCAGTTAAAACAGCCAGTCAAGTTTTTAGAGGCATCTCCTGTTTGATTACTCATGAATATGGACCTGTGAATCTGAACAATACATATTTTGGATGATTTTAGCTGAAGAATTTATTTACGATTTATGATACCAGACATCATAACACTGACCAACAGTTTAAGAGATTTTGGTTGTTCCCCATTTAGTATAGAACTGTACTTACATGACTGGACATAGCTGATACCAATATGGCACCAAGTGCACTGATTTTAATAATTTCCTGAGCCCCTCAAATGGAAAGACTGGCTTAATGATCAATATGGCGGATAGACTCCTGCCTCAGTTAAAACAGCCAGTCAAGTTTTTAGAGGCATCTCCTGTTTGATTACTCATGAATATGGACCTGTGAATCTGAACAATACATATTTTGGATGATTTTAGCTGAAGAATTTATTTACAATTTATGATACCAGACATCATAACACTGACCAACAGTTTAAGAGATTTTGGTTGTTCCCCATTTAGTATAGAACTGTACTTACATGACTGGACATAGCTGATACCAATATGGCACCAAGTGCACTGATTTTAATAATTTCCTGAGCCCCTCAAATGGAAAGACTGGCTTAATGATATGGATTTGGGGTTGACTACCTGTTTGCCCAAACAATGGCAGATTGGGGGAATGTATAGGCAACCTGTCTGGAAACACTTTTTTTTTTTTCAAAATTACACTCAATAGCTTTAAATGCCAAGAATTACTGACAAGCCAACTGAAATGGTAATATTCTGCTTAATGTTCATTGGTTGTACAGTGCCCTACGAAAGTTTGAAAACATGCTAAGGGGCCATTCACACAGAATGCGTTCATGAGATGCAGGGTAGTAGAAAAAAAACACAAGACCTAGAACCGTTCATGCGTAAGACGGCGCGAAAGACGTGAGACGTAAACGCAGCAGTGAAACATCCATCTAGTGCATGTTTTCATAGAAAACTATGGATAAGCAGAACAATGGATATGAAAACAGCCTCCAGTCGGCATTGAACAATGTCAGCACAAATCATTTCTTAGAATGGAAGCATTAAAGTAACTATCAATAAAAGTGACTTTCTTTTGGATTACATAATGTAAATAAATACTCATCAGAGTTAGATTGTGATGCTTTTTTACTGGATTTAACTGGCCTAGGTTTCTTTTTTGAAGATTATTTGGTCAGCACACTTTAAGGATTGATTAATAGACCAATCACAAAACAGGTTACAACAGCTCACGTATGTTCTGGATACGTTAATATTTTATTTACTAAAAGGATTGTGTAGTCTCTTATCAATGCACAATCATCAAAAAATGGTAAGGATTTATGCTGATATTGTGCAAAATCCCACTTTACCCAAGGCGTTTCCAAACATTTGTAGGACACTGTATGTGTAAGTGGGAAAAACAGAGCAAGAAAGAGATTTACCTGGGCACAGTTACTGTGGTTGTGACTCTGCTCCTACTTAGGTATTCATAGGATCATCTCTGAACACCTCACACTGTCTGTCATTTCACAGAGGTGAAGGAAGAGAGGAAAGGAGATTCCACCCATGTCTCCAGTATGTCTCAGGGGATTATTAGTCTTTCTTCCCACACTCTCTCCCACTTCCCTTCCGCAGTATGTTTTTCTCTCCTCATCTGTTTTGTGACGGATGCACTCACTGTTTGGCTTTTTTGGGGCATGATGCGCTATTTCTCTCAAGCTGCGAAGCCATTCTTCCTCTTGCCAGTAAATGTTGCTGAGTCTCACTTACCCCCCGACCGCCTTCTCCGTCTGTTTCTGTCCATCCCTCTCTAATTCCCCTATCACTCTTTCATTTTCTTATCCACTTGTCTAAACCACTTCTTCAGCCTATCCTTCTCTCGTTTTGCGCTGACTGTGTCTCTTTCTCTAATGCACTCTGTCTCATTTTGTCTTTCATTACCCTTGTTCTGCTCTTGCCACATCGTCTTGTGAGGCCCTAATATCTCCATCGGTCTACATCTCTGTCCACGTCAGAGGGGTATTCCATCTTTCACTTCTTCTGTATCTTTCCATTATCTGAATCACTCAAACCCTCTAGCAGTTCTCCAACTCGCCTATCTGTCCTTGAAACAAGTGCCTTTTTCATTTTTTAAGATGAGAGTTTTTGATCTGGCTTCATATGAGCCATTCACCTCACGTCTGCCACTATTATCAATATTTCTCTCTGTCTCTTCTGCTCTTCCCTCCCTCTCTCCTCGCCTTCCCGTAGATGAACGTTACCAAAATAGATTTTGACATCTTAGAGAAGTTTTGCACTGTGCTAGATGTAAGATGTACAATGTCACACAAGTTTGAGTAACACTTTACTGGCCGTTCCTCAGAGGTTCAGGTTATGAGGCTTTCGACACAGTTAGAAGGTCAATAATCAGTGTTTCACGTTTTATGTTTAGGTTTTCATTCATTCCATTTCCGAACATTTTACCATATAGTGAACCAACCGGATCGTCATTTACAGACACCTTGCGGTGAAGGTCTTCAGCGTTCCACCAACATTATAGTTCAGTTTGAGATGTCTGAGTGAGCCTTAAATGTCCAATCAGAAGCGTTCTCGATCCAGACCTCAAGATTCTGCATTATTCCAAACACAGTCTTGGAAAAAAAAGCTAAGTCATTGTTTTAGGGAGATGAATATTCCCCATTCACTGTCAAACCCAAGTTTCCCGAATGCACGTTCTTTTCCAACAAAGCAATCAGATGAAATCCTTGGAAACTGCCTCCACAAAGTTAGGTGCTGACATAAGAATGGAGATGGTGCAGATGATGTTGAAAACACTGAATGCCACCAGACAAAGTCGGTCGATTACGGCTGCAGCAAACTTCCACTGTTCGGCCACGCTGTCGTTCTCATCCTGTCCGCGGAACCTATCAGCAACGTATCGCACCTCTTCTAAAATAGCCTGAAGCTGTGGGTCTCCTCCACCACTGGTCCCCGAGCAAGAACAGCCTCCGCCGCCGCCAGACACTGTGCTCGGACAACCCGTGGCCTCCAGATTGGGAGTGGGAGGCGGTGGAGGGGTGCAGAACTGTGAGGGCAGGTGAGGTGGTGGGCTGGATCCTATTGCTGGAGGCGAAACCACTGCAGGACGTGGGCCGCCAGACATGCTGTTTCTTTGCAAAGATTCGGCGAGCAAGGATGGTGGCAAAGCTTCGTCGAGACTGGAGAACCCGATGTAAAGCAGGTTGCCATTGATGTTGGCACTGTTGGTCTGATTGTGAAGATGGTGGGTGTGGCCAGCGGCCGCCGCAGCTTGAAAGAGGCTTTGGGGATGAAGTGGGTGTAGCGTAGAGGATGTGTGGTGGTGGTGGTGCAGGTCTGCAGAGGCAGAACCGGGTGCATTTGGGACGCTGCCGCTCTGGGAACCTGAAGAGCAACGTCTTAAGTGAGGGGCACAAGGAGGGCGCTCAGGGTCTTCACTCTCACCAGGACGCTTCATACGCAAAAACCATGCCACCCACTGGAGCAGGACTATCTGAACCTAAGAGAAGGCAGATGAACAGGGAGGAATGCGTATAAGAGATTATGCAATTGTAGTGTAGGAAACATTTAACACATTTTTTTTATTTGTTGGTTTTATGATTATTGAAAGTGATAGTTCACCCAAAAAATGAAAATTCTGTCATTAATTACTCACAGATGGGATGAGGAGGAGAAAATTTGTTGAATTAAGTCATTATTTTTGTTTTATTTGCGCACAAAAAGAATTCTCGTAGCTTCGTAAAATTACAGTTGAACCTCTGATGTCACATGGACTATTTTACCGATCTCTTTGCTATGTTTCTGGACTTGGGAACATTTCAGTTGTGTTGCTGTCTATGCAGGGTCAGAAAGCTCTCAGATTTCATCAAAAATATCTTAATTTGTGTTCCAAAGATGAAGGTCTTACGGGTTTGGAATGGCATGAGGGTGAGTAATTAATGATAGAATTTTCTTTTTTGGGTGAACTATCCCTTTAATGCTTCAAATTTTGAACACTGAGTGATTAAATACACTATTTAACATATATATATATATATATAAAAATATAACATATATCCTTATATAGAAAAGAATATGTGTGTGTGTGTGTGTGTGTGTGTGTGTGTGTGTGTGTGTGTTGGTTATAATAATCCTCATATTTTATATAAAAAAGTACATCAGATTTATTTCTACTGATTTTAAATCCTCACTCCATGCTACTCTTTTATAATCAATACTTATTCAAAAATGTATGATAAATAAAAGTCACCTTGAACTATATGTGTTTCTTAGTGCTACTCATTCCAGTGTTGCTAGTTGTGGATACTGTAAGGATGATTTATTCAAAACTGAATTAATAAAACAGTGTAATTGGAATTATTTGGAGATACCAAGTTAAGAATAATCTCTTTGTATAAATCTCAAATCTTCCTAATTTCCCTACGGTACCAACTTTTAAAACTGAATCAAATTTTACCCATATCCTGCTTTCTCAGTAAACAACATTAGCTTTGAATATTAAAAGTAAAATCCAATGTACAAGCTGATAATTTTATGTATTTATGTAAGAGGAAGCATGCATTTCACAGCAGCATGTCAAGCCGTTTTGAACTATATGTACGTGTAGAGCATATGTAGTATAGTCTAAACAAAAGGTTATACAGCACTGTCTGAACAACAAATAAAGTAAAATAATCCATGCAAATCTTTTTTTTTCAGATAGCGTCTGCTGAGTCAAGAGGGGAAAGGTTTTGGAAGAAAAGGAGCTGTAAAACAGCAACATATGACAGCAAGGACTATGACGCAGAGAGAGATAAAGAGGTGACAAGTTAGAATTATTCAGTTGCACTGCCGAGTCCTGGCCAAGTAGAGGCATAAAGCATGGCAAAATGTACGACTAGTGGGGTTGGCAATGCTTTCATCCACAGAAAAACTGCAGTTTAAGCAACTAGGTCCTTTATTGGCATCTTCACACATTTTGGTGTATTAAAAGATCACACAATGCAAGTTTGGCTATCATTAACAACAGCAGTGCAACTAGTGCAATATCAACAAATTTGCAGAATATATATAATGAAAAAACAGGCATTACCAAGACACTAGACAGTTGAGGTGTGTGTTTGCCCTTGGGGGTTTGACAAGCATCACAACAACATCTTTCCCTGATCAGTATCCACCTTTTAGCATCTTCTTCTGAACTGTATCTCTTTTTAGCTCTTTAGATTGTAAGATAACTACCGTTGCTGTTATGTAAGCGTTGCTTTTTCCCGGTTGTTCAGATAAAGAGGGTTTTCTTTTTCAACTCCTTTGAGCCATGGCTCTGGCAGACATTTTCAATAACTACACATGTTGTACATTGGGTGTGAATGTTACTAAAAGCTGATCCCAGGATAGGATCCTAGGACATTGTGCTCAGGCAAGCGTGCCACTAATTATTATTGCTCATACTTTGAGTTAGAGATTAAATAAACCTCTAACCTTAGTATTAATTATTAATCCTCAAATTGAAATGTGCTATTACTTTTATAAGCAGCGAGGCACACAATTTTTGTCCAGCAGCTAAAAAATTCCATAGACTTACATTTAAGGAAGACAGAAGTCATGTCTAACGGCCAGAAAATCATTGAGATTTGAGCCTTTTGAGGCCACCCTAACTAGGGTGACCATACGGGCCATTTGTACGGGATTTCTATATTGCCTAAAATATTCAGGTTTTGGCTGTTTGCACTGTGCAGATCGATCGTTGTATGACATTCACGAGAGCTATCGAGAGCAGAGCAGACGGCTCCTTATGCTTTCGAATCGCTCTCGCGGTACTTTGGTGTCATACAATGATCGGTGCGCACCGACGCTTCAAGTCGAACGAACGAACAAACACGTGTGTGTATTTGCATCGCTTTGATCGTTCTCTGTAGAGCTCACCTTCTCACGTGCCACGATTGGTCGATTATATACAATACCTGCATGTTATTGGTCAAACTACTTTGGATGTTTTAGGCAATATAAAAATCCTGGCCAGGACGTGTCCCGTATGAACGGCACATATGGCCACCCTAACCCTAACACATACACTACCATTGAAATAATACTTTTACTTAACAAAGATGCTTTCAATTCATCAAACGTGACAGTAAATACATGAATGTTACAAAAGAATTCTATTTCAAATAAATGCTGTTCATCTTTCTACTCAAGGAATCCTGAAAAAAATGCATCATGGTTTTCACAAAAATATAAAGCAGCACAGCTGTTTTCAACATTAATAAAATAATAACACACGTTTCTTGAGCAGCAGATCAGCATATTAGAAGGATTTCTGAAAGATTGTGTGACACTGAAGACTAGAGTAAGTAAATATGAAAATTCAGCTTTGCGTCACAGAAAGAAGTTGCATTTCAAAATCTAAATTTCAAATAGAATACAGTTATTTTAAATTGCTGTAATATTTAACAATTTGACTATTTTACTGAATGTTTGATTAAATAAAGTATCCTTTGTCAGCATAAGAGACTTCTTTCACAAGTTTCACAAAAACTTTTGAATGTGTACATTAACCTCCTGCTGCAATATTAAATTTTCTTTTTAATATTAAC